TCAGGACTAAGTATATTCACTTATCTCATTATTCACACTTAGTCTTTTCCCTATGCTCCATAGTAATGACCACTTAGACAACTGTTGAAAACAGTAGGAAAGTAGTCCCTGTTTGTCAGTAGCTAATAATTGTTTATCATGCCTTCCTATACAGAGAGAAGGTAGATATAGCATATCTGAAAAGTTCAAGAAAACAGATTACCATCATGTATTTGAATATCCGTATTTCTGTATTTGATACATATTTCATAGGTTTATATAAACACAGACTTATGCAGAAGTTTCTTTTCTTCTAAATGTAACTATCTACAAGTTCATAGATAAAAAACAATCTTACATGCATGACCAAAGTGAATCTTTTCTATCAGCTATCAAATAATTGTGTAAATTTGTTCATTTGAGACAACATAGCATGGACTTTGCATAAATTTTTAGAATATAATTTATTTATAAGAAGAGATATTTCTGTATAAGAATTTCTCCTAAAGAATTGTTCAAATTATTATTTTTTATTATAATTATAGGTATTTTACTATAATTAGAAATGGATAATGCTCTTATTTGGGGGTACATTAGTTCCCAGAGGAACGTATCTCTAAAATCGTTGTATGGTCAGTGAAAATACAATGCATGCATTCATCCATTCTTCTGACAAGTATTTACTGAGCACCAACTATGCCCCAACTACTCTTCTATACTCTAAAGATACAGCAGCCAACAAAACAAAACAAAACAAAAAAACAACTGCCCTCTTGGAGCTTATAACATTGCAGGAAATCATATTTTGGATAGTAAAAAACAATAAGGTTGAAAAATAGGTAGGAGAGGGGACAGGAATTGTTTGGGGCAGGCAATGAAATTTTATGTTGGGTGGCCTGGAAATGACTCATTGAGAAGGTAACGTTGAGTAGTGAACTGACTGAATTGAAAGAGTGAGCCCTGGAGCTGTCTAGGAGAACATTCCAAGCAAAGAGAATGGTAAGTGCAAAGGTTTTGAGGTGGATATATGACTGATCTTTTTGGGAAACAGAGTGAATGAGTGGAGAGAGTAGTAGGATAGGTGGTTAGAGTGGTAATAGTGTGTCTGGGGGTGAAATTCATTTCATATTAAGGACCTTGGTTTTTTGCCAGAAGTGAGATTGGAAGCCATTGGATGGGTTCGAGAAGGGGAGTGGTGCAATCTGACCAAGGGTTTTATCTGGATCCATCACTAGTTTCTGTGTTGGAAACAGACTGAAATGGGCAATGGTGGAAGCAAGGGAGGCAGTTAGGAAGATTTCACAATAATCCGGGTAAGAGATCGTGGCTTGGATCAGAGTATTTGTGGAGGTGGAGTGACATGGTTGGATTTGTCTGTATTGTTATGATATAGGTGATAGGATTTGCTGATAGAATTTCATTATACATCCAAGTTATAAGCCAAGTATTTAATTCGTAAATTAAGGAATAATTCAACTATAGAAAAGTAGGGGAGATATTATATGAAGCAGAAGATTTAAATCTATCTTTTTTATACTATGAAAGGTACTTTGTCAAGGTAGTTAAAATATTTGATGATGACTAAATAGTACTTCTATATATATATTTACATTTTATTAGCAAGATAATTAAAACCCAATCCCAATGTTTACTGAATTAATTTTTATCTATTATAAAATATCTAGTTAAAAGCTTAATGTCTTACATCTAACATTTGTAGTTAAAATAAAATATATCCTAAAGCTTATTTGTTGGAAACAAAGCAGTCTACTGATTAATAGAAATTTGAAAAGACAGTAAAATATTTTTTAGAGATGAGCTGGTTGTATAAAGTTAAATGGAAGAAATATAGAAACTACTTTTATTCATTGTAGTGTCTACATCACGTGAAGAACTAGATAATTTTTTTCTGAGCTCTATCAGTAGGGGGCAGCAAAGTCTCAAGTAGTGTGTTTTCAGGTTCCTGGGAGGCTTTGCTAAGGAAAATTTCCTTTTTTTTTTTTTTTTTTTTTTTGTTGTTGTTGCCGTTGCTCTTAAGAAGTTTGTTCTGGCTTGCTTTTTAATGAAGTGCTTTGGTAATATCACTTAAAAGCCCTGTAGCTTTTGTTCAGATATTTAGCCAACTGTTCCCTTAGGCGCTATAGATGCTTTCTTAATGAGAGTATGTATTTTTTTCTTTCTGTAATTTAGGGAGTACCAGGGCCAGGAAAATATGACATTAAAAGTCAATTTCAGAAGAATGAAAGTATGTCATCAAACGTAAATCATGCCTCACCTGCTTTTCTTTCTCAATCCCGGGTAATGTTCTATAGTTATTTCATATTTAGTGTATAATAGGTATAATGCAATGCCAGCAACAAATCCAGTGGTGTTAGGGAGATTATAAAAAGAAAAATGGTATTTAAGCAAATTAGGAACAGATGCAGCCTGGGCAAATCATTTTGCCAGAAATGTGGGTAAAAGGAAATGACTTAAGATTACACTATTAACAATAATATGCAGAGATGAATATTCAAATTGCAATTATTTATTAAACATTGTCTACTAAGCAAATTTGCTTATGTGGAAGTTCAGTTTAGCTTATAAGAGCTTTTAGTCTGGGTTTTAAAATATACTAATGAATATGTGAAGTGTTGACGTGTAATCTATGAGGACATGCATATCTTTTGGAGAAGGTTCTGAAGGCTCTCTGGAGCCTAGCTGTAAATTATATCTAAAACTGCCACTGGGGCCTTTATTAGTGATGTGAGAGTCTATTTCACAGTAATCCTGTTCTCCAAGGTCTATATTGAGGGGACTTGAAGGTATCTAAGATATTCCTAAGGCAAGAACATTATAATACTAGCAAACCTTTATGTCACAGTGGCCAGATCAAGTCGTTGTGATATTTAACCAATTGTACTATGTAAAACTCAGATTATCTTATTTAACTAGGGAAGGTTATTAACCTTCAGATGACTACAGCGGGCTACTTTAGTTTCATTGTACTTAAGAGGCAACTCCTTGGAGACAGATAGATTGCAGGTATATTTTGGAGACACAGTTAACATGACTTTTTAATGGGTTAGATGTTGTGGTGAGGGACTAGGAAGAATCAGGAATGAACAGCAGGTTTCTGCCTTGAGCAACTTGATAGTACTTAAGGTACTACACAGAATGGATGTGAGGGAATGGGATATCGTGTGTGTGCCCTTGATTTTAAAAATACCATTTTTACAACTAGAACTCTCAGTTTTTATGCTATTCCTGTTCATCTGATATACAGTCCTAATGTGACATTACTTGGCACCAATTATAATATTTTAAATATATTTTCAGAAATGAAAAAGAATATGATATCAATTTTGCTTAAGAGGACCATGAAGAAAAGAATCATGGTTCTGGGGTGAAAGATATGGAAGAGTTAAAACCAACAGGACTGCCTGCTAGGGGTAGTGTTAGTGTTTAGCTGAATATGAATAGATTTATTAATGATTATGATTGAAAAAGCAATAATGAAATTAACAAGGTGGACTTAGAACACAATTTTTGATTTATAGAATTAAAGACATGTTATGTTATTGGGATACTTATTTTAGTCTTGACTTAACGAGTTGTCTGGTATTTTATGTAAATGCATTGAATTTTCTTATGTCTTCAACTATTAATTTTTAAAACATAAGATTTCCTTTATAATAATGGTTCTCAACTCTTGCTGCATATTAGAATATTTTGGGAAATTTTAATACATTCTGATACGCAGTTGCTTTCTTTCCTCTCTCCCAGAGATTGATTCAACTGGTTCAGAATAGGACCCAGGCACCAATACTTTTTTTAACTCCTCAAGTAATTCTATATGCAGCCAGGGTTGAGTATTACCATTTAAAAACATTGACTCAGCATTTAAATAATAAAATAGTATTTAAGAAGGCTTTGGAAATGTTCCTACATGAAAGGAGGCTAAAAGCAATATCTGAGCCTAGACTAGGTTATGTATTAGAGGGGAAAAATGCAATAGAATTATAATTAGATCAACTGACAGATTTGGAATATGAATGGTACATTAGATAAAAGTCATATCATTGATTCATTTAAGAAAATACATGTAAGAAAATATCCCTATTTTTAATAAATACGCACTAAAGTATTTAGGGGTAAAGGGCCACAACACACATAACTTTCCATTAAATGGTTCTATATATATGGGTGCATATGTGTGTGTGTGTGTGTGTGTAGAGAGACAGAGAGGGAGGAACGGACATACAAACAGAGAGAAAGACAGAAATAGAGTGGGCAAATGAAAACAGTGAATGGCATAACGTTAGCAGGTGCATCTGGGTAATCATTGCACAGGTATTTTCTGTATTATTTTTATTCATAAATTTGAATGTTCCAAATTTTAAATTAATTCTAAATAAAAAAGTTAAAAAAATAGATTATTCAATGCTATATTTCATAAGATTTCATAATTTACATATAGATACATGTATATTTAATATCAATCAGTTAAATATTATAAATTTATAATAAGCTTATTGTAAGTTTATAAAATCATAACTTTAATATTATAAGTTAAAGTGGATTTATATACCACTTGAATCTAAGATTTTTTTCTTAAGGTAGCTAATGGTATCGTTGGGTTAATTGAATATATATGTTGAGGAACTTTGTCAATTTGTGTAATTTTATTACATAGAAGAAACCATGTTAGATCATGTAGTTTTTCTTTATTATCTTGCAGAATATTTTAAATGTGAAGATTGTCCACACACTGTCATCTGAATCTCATATTGAGATGATTTCCTTTGAAAAGTCTTTCTGGCTTAGCAAAGTACATAATGCATTACTGTATTAATATATGGATGATTTTTCTAAAAGTATATATTTTATGTTTTGATAGATATCTTTACTCATCTACATTTTCTTCACTCCATTAAGAAATAAACTCCAGATGTTATATTACTAAGAAAGCAGCTTTTAACTCACAAAATATCAAAACGTACCATAGTTTCTTACTGGCATATTTTCTTGTTCTTCACTAAAGGTTTGTCCCTATGAAATCAATCACCCCAGCTCCTGTTGCATATAATGAATCTCGAACTGCTTTCAAGCCCTTGAAGAAAACACCAGAACTGAAAAATACCTCATTTGGTCAAAGTGCTGCTTGATTCACACAAGACTCTAGGACAGAGAAAATGCCAGGTTAGCAATGAATTCATATGTATCTACTCTTTAGCTTTATGCAACTTAATATTCTTAAAATGGATGCACCAGAAAGTACAATTTTCTGTTCTATGGGTGGTGGTGTCATTTTAAGTCAACATTTTTTTAAGCATTGACTCTACACTAAACACAGATAGGTGAAAATAATGTACAGTTTTAGTAAGATTTTAATTTAACTTGTCATATCTCTTAGTTGTAATTTTCTATTGTTTTCCTTTTTTCAATAAATTTCCTAATTTTCCTTTGGTAGGTGAACATATATGTAAATTATGTGGTCACTGCCAGTAATATAACTTATGATATTCAGTTTTGTTAAAATTTTATTTTGGAGATGTCCAATCACATGTTCTAGTATTCTCAGTGGGTATTCTAGTATACAGTGGATAATCTAAAACTATAACACAAAAATAACATATAATGACTAACACATTGCTGATGTATAACAAACTCAGTGGCTTAAAAAAACAGACTTTTTCCATCATATCCCATTAATCTGTGGGACTGCTAAAAGGCAGAGTTCAGATGGGACTGTTATTCAGAGTGCATGCATAGCTCAAGCATTGCTGCCCCAGGGTAGCTGGTCTTTTCACATGGTAGCTCAGGGCTCCATGAGACCTGGCAGGAAGCTGCAAGGCTTCTTATGACCTACCCTCAGAAATTCCAGGACATCACTTTCTGTTAGTCAATCAAGTGGCACAGGGTAGCCTATATTGAAAAGAAGGACATGAAACTTCATCTTTCAATGACAGGAGTAGCAAGGAATTTGTGGCCATCTTTAATCTGCTATAGATTACCCTCTGGCTACAAAATATTTTCATTTTTCCTACATGCCTTCTCAAGGCCTCCAAAGTCTCAGGCAAGTATGGTATAATCTTAAAGACCAGGATCTTGTTATCTAAGTCAGGTGTAGGTTCAGGTGGGGATTCTTGGGTGTGGTCCTTCAGATCATCTTGTATATCTCTCTTCTCTATCAGAAGAGCTGTGAACTACAGATACAAGTTATCTCCCCCATATATTCAACACATATCGGTGGGAGAGAGATAGGATAATAGTACTAGAAACTCCTATTCAAAAAAGAGAGAAAACTGGAGGCCCACAGTATTACCAAATCAAACTTGGGTCCACTTGCCTGTGTGCAGTAAAGCCAATCTACTGACACAGGGTTGTGGTGAAGAAAAGTGCAGCATTTACTGCAGGGCACCAAGCAAGGAGTCCAGGTAGCTAGTGCTCAAAAGGCCCAAACTCCCCAATGGCTTTCAGGGAAAGGTTTTTAAAGACAGGGTGAGGGAGGGGAACTGTGGGGTGCGTGATCAGCTCATGGATATTCTTCTGATGGGTTAGTTGTGAGGTAATCAGGAGTCAACATCATCAACCTTCTGTTTCCAGCCACTCTGGGGTCTACCTGTTTGTGGGCAGCATACAGTTAACTTCTTCCACCTGGTGGAGGTTTCAGTATCTGCAAAACAGCTCAAAGGACATGGCTTAGAATGTTAGCTATAGCCTTTGAGGAGGAACTAAAAATGCTTGACTTTGTTGAATGGCTAAATTATTATTATTTTGTCTTGCTTGACTGTTTTCCTTTCTTTCTGCATTTTCTCCCTTCTCTGATTAAATTTATTCTTTGGAATTTGTGGAAGGCCTAGGAGGCTAGTTTTCTACAGATAAGAGACAGGCAGAGGGCATTGGGTGAGGGTATCTGTCCTGAGAAGGCCCCATGGGGTCCTGCTCAGTGACAATAGAAGTCACAGGCCTATAGCAATTCTGAAGTCCAAGCTGGCACATGTTGCCATTTTCTTAGTTAGGGCTCAGTTGGGCTCCCTGGGAGAAAGATTTCCTGTGGTGCTTTGTTTTACCTTTTAGGCTCTTGGTTTCATCCTTTGAAACATCCTTCCTCTTCTATAAGAAATAGGCTGTGTTTTCAGCTTTCTCAACCTGCTTCCTGCCCAGGGAGATCCGGGGTCTATGAGCCACTTTTCATTTTGTACTGTTGTTGTTTGTTTCATTCCAGGTTGGTTCATTCCTTATTAAAACTTTGTAGGTTTATTATTGTATTAATTTATAATCAAATACACTGGACAAAAGCCAAGCTCACATGTACTTCTTAGAAAAACCTTTGTCTACTTTGGGTCACCTTTAGTGTTGCTGTGTTTCTGTACTCTTAGATTCTTAGGAGCACTATTGCACTATTGTTTTAGCTTAGAGGGTCTATGACATATGGCCTTAAAATTCCTAGATGTTCTTTTCTGTAACTGAGAGATTCTATGAGATACCATCTTAAATCTTTTTGAGGTCTTAACAAAGGTCTTACAGCTAAACCCTGGATTTGGTCTCGGGGCGTTTCTTGCTTTGAGAGCTTTTTGCTGTGTGGAGAGACTGGGGATGAAAAACAATTTTACTTTCAAACTCAGAAAATATTGGTTTCATTTTATTTCCTATAAATTCTGCTTGAAAACTGAGCAGTTTTAGCTTATCTCTTTCTAACTATACCTTCTCACACACAGCTAAAAGCAACTAGTTGGCACTTTTGATATTTAACCTAGACATTTCCTGAGCTAGAATCCACTATTTTATTAGGTGTTTTCTTCACTATTCCAAGTATTAGTTTTGCCAAAATTTCTGCCATTATAGAATACAAATGATCTTTTCTCCAACCTCCATAACATTTTTATCACTCTCTTTAAGCCATTACCAACTGTCTCCTCAAGGCCATTTCTCTAAGTCTTGAGTTGTTTCAGCTTCTGGCCCATTGCCTGATCCCAAACCATTGCTCCAAGTTTTGACACGGTAATTTTTCCTTATAGTAATGCTGTACTCATGGTATAAAATTATTTACTATTTATGCCATTGAGAGGTTGAGTATTATTCTTCTACATCTTCAATCTTGGCTAGTCTGGTGGCTTTCTTCTCCAATAGCATGCAGTGGAAGTGATATTCTAGCACTTCTCAGGCAAAGTCATAAGCTTAACAGCATATACCTGGGCCTATAGAAACAATTGATTTTGGAGACCTGAGCTTCTAGATAGAAATCTGACTAGTTTAAGACTGCCATTCTGGAGAGGTCTTATATAGGTGCTAGGCACTACCCCAGATGCGCCTAGCTCAGTAGTGTTTATCATGAATCTGAAATACAAATTATTTCAAAATATCAATTTATTCAGTGACCCAACTGCCTGAAGTTTGGGCCTTGTTTTCAATTTGATGGTCTAATGTATTACAAATAAAGTTTTATAAATTCCCCAAAGGTTATTTTATTTTCAAAGGATAAAGTTTAATTATGATGACCTCTAAAATCTAATCCTGATCTTACATATTTTAAGAATTAGTGAGAATGGCCTTCGTGTGTTTTCTTTTTCCCATGTAGATATTAGTATACAGTAATGACTTAGACTCACAAATCAGTCATAGAACAGATTCAACCACCTAATATATGCCTCAGAGCTGTGGCAGGTTACTGTTCGAAGGCATCCTAAGCTGTCTAACTCTGGGGTTCCTGGGCATTGCTACACTTAATAACTGGAAAATGAACATAAAAAACCTCTAATGTAAGTGAATTATAATGATCAGGGTGGCTTTTCAAATCAGAACCTTAACAAGGTAGTACCTGAAATGCACACACCTTGAGGTCCCTATATTTAAGTACTTAAGCTCACTTGTCACAATGTTATGTTGTCCTCTCATGCCAGAAGAGAGCCAAATCTAAGATATTTGTATTTTAAGTCCCTTAAATGGTGGCCCAAATAGTTTTCATTATGCTCTCTACTTATATTTTTCCCAAGCATTATCAGTGGAGGAATGTTGGAAGACGTCAGAAATAAGATGTATTGGCATTTAGGTTTTCTGAGAGTTGGCACGACAGACTTTTGGGGAATAGACTTTAGAACTAGAATATTTTGAAAAACTGGGAAGAGCTTGTGGGCAGCTTCTTTGAGAAAAACCTTACATGTATCAGGAGTACAGAGGATTTGACTGTGTAGAATGACTTGATCACTTTTAAACCAGAAGGAACCTAAAGTATCATCTAGCCTCATGCCCACTTGTTTGTTTCCTGCCTGCAGTGAGAAAGGAGATTGCACCAGAATGTAAATCCACACAATGCTTCCTTCATGGAGAAAGACTAGTTATAAAACGTTTAGTGAGTCAATTTACATTTAGTTGTAAGCTCCTTTTATTGTAGATTGTTCTTGGATGGGCAGCAGTTCACAGATCACATTTTGACTAGCACTGATCTAGTCAATTCCTATTATCTTCAGACAGGAACTTGAAGCCCAGAAAAACAAATGAGATTTAAGTGATGGTTCATACCTATTTAGTTGCAGATCTAATTTAGTAGATTCCAGATAACATGAGTACAACCAAATCAGGTGTTCTTTCAAGTATTTGATATTGCATTTTATGAATATTGCTGCTCACTGGAACTGATTTCTTGAAAATACTGAATTATAAAACATATACAAATATTTGTTTCAAATATTTGAATGTCTTGATAAAAACTTTTATCAATGGCAAAGAAAGTTGTCTGTATTATTTTGAATGAATAAAAAGAAATGTTATTCACTCAGATTGTCACTGTAGAAAATGTTCCTGGTTATAAATGTACACTAAAGGGTAAAAGGCAAAAATTTAAATAACTAAATACTATAATAGGAAGATTGGGTGATAGCTGATTTTTTTCTCTTCCAAATTGATTTTTAATGTTGTTACATCAAGATTTCAGTACTTTTTGGCATCAAGAATTTCCCTCCTGCCCTCCTCCCTCCCTCCTTCCCTCCCTCCCTCCCTTCCTTCCTTCCTTCCTTCCTTCCTTACTGAGTATAATTTACACAATAAAAATAATTCATTTTAAGTGTACATTTTGATGAGTGTTGGTAATTGTACATAGTCAGATAATCACCACTATTTAATCAAGTTTTAGAACACCTCCATCATTCTTAAACCGTTCTCTCACTTCCCTGGTGGTGCAGTGCTAAAGAATCCACCTGCCAATGCAGGGGACGTGGGTTTGAGCCCTGGTCTGGGGAAATCCCACATGCCGTGGAGCAGCTAAGCCCTTGCACCACAACTACTGAGCCTGCGCTCTAGAGCCCATGAGCCACAACTACTGAGCCTGCATGCCACAACTACTGAAGCCCCCATGCCTAGAGCCTGTGCTCTGCAGCAAGAGAAGCCACTGCAATGAGAAGCCTGTGTACCGCAACGAAGAGTAGCTCCCACTCGCCACAACTAGAGAAAGCCCACAAGTGGCAGCAAAGACTCAACGCAGCCAAAAATAAAAATAAAAAAGTAATAAATTTATTTAAAAAATAAATAAAATAAAACATCATTGCCATACCCAAGTTCATCTAGGTTTCAAAAAAAAAAAGTTCCTCATGTCCTTTTGCAGTTAATCTCTACCCCCACCCTTGGCCCTAAGTAACTGTCAGTGTTCCTATGATTTTTCATTTTCTGGAATTTTATATAAATGGAATTACACATTATTTAGGATTTTGTGTTTATCATCTTTCACTTAGCATGATGTTTTTGAGGTTCATTCATGTTGTTGCATTTATTTTTTCTTTTTATTACTGAGTATTATTCCATTGTTTGGGTGTAGCACATTTTGTTTATCTGTTCACCAGCTAATGGACATTTGGGTTGTTTTTATTTCTCTTGCAGAAATAACTAGGAGTAGGATTTCTGGGTCATGTGGTAAGTATATGTTTAACTTTATGAGAATTTGACAAATTGTTTTTCAGAATGGCAAAGCACTTTGCATTCCTGCCAGCAATATATGAGAATTCTTTCTAAAAAATTGCTTCATTTATAGTTACTCAGTTTATAAATAAGATATGGTGTATATATACAATGGAATACTACTCAGCCATAAAAAACAATGAAATTTTGCCATTTGCAGCAATATGGATGGACTTTGAGGGTATTTTGCTAAATGAAATAAATCAAACAGAGAAAGACAAATTGTGTGATATCACTTACATGTAGAATCTACAAAATACAACAAACTAGTGAATAAACAGAAAAGAAGTAAACTCACAGATATAGAGAACAAACTAGTGGTTACCAGTGAGGAGAGGGAAGGGGGGAGGAGCAATACAAGGGCGGGGAAAAGTAAAAGGGTTATTTTGGGATTATATGAAATCATATGTGTAAAACTTTTGAAAATTATAAAGCACTATAGAAGTTAAAGAATCTTTCATTCAATAAATAAAGTAAAATAAATAATAAAGTTACTCAGTTTAAAAGAATTAAAAGTGTTTCTTACATATGATATTCTTCATAATTCTAGGTCCTGGGTTTTATAATATCCCAAACAATACTTTAATTGACAACTTTAGCAATACCTGCTTGAAGAAACAAAAGAAAAGTGCATTTGGTTCTTCTGTTCCTCAGACTCTCTTCCTGGTTCAGAAAGAAGTTTTTCCTACTCCTGGGCCTGCTGGCTATAAGGTAATATGTGGATACCAAAATTACATTACTTATATCTATTACCAAGAATTTAGGGTTTATAGGATTACATGTGATATATATACCTCATTATTATAAGCCATACTATTATTATTGAAATTATTTATATATGGTCATTTATGGCATAAGAACAAAAATTAATTTGGTCACAGCTATGTTTGTAATTTTTTTTTAAAAGTAGATCCTATTCTTTATCTCTTTGGAGATCTCATATGTAGTTCTTTGAATATTTATCTTCATTTTATGATTGGGCCACTATATTCTGAAAGTAAATGTAGGCTTCCTTTAAATTAGGGCTTCTTTAAATGTTCTCTGAAGTTTTATAATTTTTATGTTGACGTCTTACACATCTTTATTAGATTTATCTCTCAGTATTTGATGTTTTTTTAAATTTGTACATGAGTGTTCATAGCTTTATTCATATAGTTCATATAACGTTCATAAAACTTTATTTGTAATAATAGAGCTGAAAACAACCCAAATGTCCATTAGTCAATGAATGGATAAACAAACTGTGATATACTCATATTTAACAAGAATTAGTACATCTAGCCCTCTCAGAATAAATAGGAGGAATGAAATAAACTGACAAAAAAGAGTGGGTAGTACATTACTCAATTTTTTTTTAACATCTTTATTGGGGAATAATTGCTTTACAATGGTGTGTTAGTTTCTGCTTTATAACAAAGTGAATCAGTTATACATATACATATGTTCCCATATCTCTTCACTCTTGCGTCTCCCTCCCTCCCACTCTCCCTATCCCACCCCTCTACCCTCCCACTCTCCCTATCCCACCCCTCCAGGTGGTCACAAAGCACCGAGCTGAGCTGATCTCCCTGTGCTATGCGGCTGCTTCCCACTAGCTATCTACCTTACGTTTGGTAGTGTATATATGTCCATGCCTCTCTCTCGCTTTGTCACAGCTCACCCTTCCCCATCCCCATATCCTCAAGTCCATTCTCTAGTAGGTCTGTGTCTTTATTCCTGTCTTACCCCTAAGTTCTACATGACATTTTTTTCCTTAAATTCCATATATATGTGTTAGCATACGGTGTTTGTCTTTCTCTTTCTGACTTACTTCACTCTGTATGACAGACTTTAGGTCTATCCACCTCATTACAAATAGCTCAATTTCATTTCTTTTTATGGCTGAGTAATATTCCATTGTATATATGTGCCACATCTTCTTTATCCATTCATCCGATGATGGGCACTTAGGTTGTTTCCATCTCCAGGCTATTGTAAATAGAGCTGCATGAACATTTTGGTACATGACTCTTTTTGAATTTCGGTTTTCTCAGGGTATATGCCCAGTAGTGGGATTGCTGGGTCATATGGTAGTTCTATTTGTAGCTTTTTAAGGAACCTCCATACTGTTCTCCATAGTGGCTGTACCAATTCACATTCCCACCAGCAGTGCAAGAGTGTTCCCTTTTCTCCACACCCTCTCCAGCATTTATTGTTCTTAGATTTTTTGATGATGGCCATTCTGACTGGTGTAAGATGATATCTCATTGTAGTTTTGATTTGCATTTCTCTAATGATTAGTGATGTTGAGCATTCTTTCATGTGTTTGTTGGCAGTCTGTATATCTTCTTTGGAGAAATGTCTATTTAGGTCTTCTGCCCATTTTTGGATTGGGTTGTTTGTTTTTTTGTTATTGAGCTGCATGAGCTGCTTGTAAATTTTGGGAATTAATCCTTTGTCAGTTGCTTCATTTGCAAATATTTTCTCCCATTCTGAGGGTTGTCTTTTCATCTTGTTTGTGGTTTCCTTGGCTGTGCAAAAGCTTTGAAGTTTCATTAGGTCCCATTTGTTTATTTTTGTTTTTATTTCCATTCCTCTAGGAGGTGGGTCAAAAAGTATCTTGCTGTGATTTATGTCATAGAGTGTTCTGCCTATGTTTTCCTCTAAGAGTTTGATAGTTTCTGGCCTTACATTTAGGTCTTTAATCCATTTTGAGCTTATTTTTGTGTATGGTGTTAGGGAGTGATCTAATCTCATACTTTTACATGTATCTGTCCAGTTTTCCCAGCACCACTTATTGAAGAGGCTGTCCTTTCTCCACTGTACATTCCTGCCTCCTTTATCAAAGATAAGGTGACCATATGTGCATGGGTTTATCTCTGGGCTTTCTATCCTGTTCCATTGATCTATCTTTCTGTTTTTGTACCAGTACCATACTGTCTTGATAACTGTAGCTTTGTAGTATAGTCTGAAGTCAGGGAGCCTGATTCCTCCAGCTCCGTTTTTCGTTCTCAAGATTGCTTTGGCTATTCGGGGTCTTTTGTGTTTCCATACAAATTGTGAAATTTTTTGTTCTAGTTCTGTGAAAAATGCCAGTGGTAGTTTGATAGGGATTGCATTGAATCTGTAGACTGCTTTGGGTATTATAGTCATTTTCACAATGTTGATTCTTCCAATCCAAGAACATGGTATATCTCTCCATCTACTTGTGTCATCTTTAATTTCTTTCATCAGTGTCTTATAATTTTCTGCATACAGGTCTTTTGTCTCCTTAGGTAGGTTTATTCCTAGGTATTTTATTCTTTTTGTTGCAATGGTAAATGGGAGTGCTTTCTTGATTTCACTTTCAGATCACTTTTTGCATCGTTAGTGTATAGGAATGCCAGAGATTTCTGTCCATTAATTTTGTATCCTGCAACTTTACCAAATTCATTGATTAGCTCTAGTAGTTTTCTGGTAGCATCTTTAGGATTCTCTATGTATAGTATCATGTCATCTGCAAACAGTGACAGCTTTACTTCTTCTTTTCCGATTTGGATTCCTTTTATTTCCTTTTCTTCTCTGATTGCTGTAGCTAAACTTCCAAAACTGCCGGAACTGCTTTTTCTGCATCCCATAGGTTTTGTGTCGTTGTGTCTCCATTGTCATTTGTTTCTAGGTATTTTTTGATTTCCTCTTTGATTTCTTCAGTGATCACTTGGTTATTAAGTAGTGTATTGTTTAGCCTCCATGTGCTTGTATTTTTTACAGATCTTTTCCTGTAATTGATATCTAGTCTCATGCTGTTGTGGTCGGAAAAGATACTTGATACAATTTCAGTTTTCTTAAATTTACGAAGGCTTGATTTGTGACCCAAGATATGATCTATCCTGGAGAATGTTCTCTGAGCACTTGAGAAAAATGTGTATTCTGTTGTTTTTGGATGGAATGTCCTATTAATATCAATTAAGTCCATCTTGTTTAATGTATCACTTAAAGCTTGTGTTTCCTTATTTATTTTCATTTTGGATGATCTATCCATTGGTGAAAGTGGGGTGTTAAAGTCCCCTGCTATGAATGTGTTACTGTTGATTTCCCCTTTTATGGCTTTCAGCATTTGCCTTATGTATTGAGGTGCTCCTATGTTGGGTGCATAAATATTTACAATTGTTATATCTTCTTCTTGGATCGAATCAAGAAGTAGTGTCCTTCTTTGTCTCTTCTAATATTCTTTATTTTAAAGTCCATTTTGTCTGATATGAGAATTGCTACTCCAGCTTTCTTTTGGTTTCCATTTGCATGGAATATGTTTTTCCATCCCCTTACTTTCAATCTGTATGTGTCTCTAGGTCTGAAGTGGGTCTCTCGTAGACAGCATATATATGGGTCTTGTTTTTGTATCCATTCAGCCAATCTGTGTCTTTTGGTGGGAGCATTTAGTCCATTTACATTTAAGGTAATTATCGATATGTATGTTCCTATTCCCATTTTCTAAATTGTTTTGGGTTCATTATTGTAGGTCTTTTCCTTCTCTTGTGTTTCTTGCCTAGAGAAGTTCCTTTAGCATTTGTTGTAAAGGTGGTTTGGTGGTGCTGAAATCTCTCAGCTTTTGCTTGTCTGTAAAGGTTTTAATTTCTCCATCAAATCTGAATGAGATCCTTACTGGGTAGAGTAATCTTGGTTGCAGGTTTTTCTCCTTCATCACTTTAAATATGTCCTGCCACTCCCTTCTGGCTTGCAGAGTTTCTGCTGAAAGATCAGCTGTTAACCTTATGGGGATTCCCTTGTGTGTTATTTGTTGTTTTTCCCTTGCTGCTTTTAATATTTTTTCTTTGTATTTAATTTTTGACAGTTTGATTAATATGTTTCTTGGCGTATTTCTCCTTGGAGTTGTCCTGTATGGGACTCTCTGTGCTTCCTGGATTTGATTAACTATTTCCTTTCCCATATTAGGGAAGTTTTCAACTATAATCTCTTCAAATATTTTCTCAGTCCCTTTCTTTTTCTCTTCTTCTGGAACCCCTATAATTTGAATGTTGGTGCATTTGATGTTGTCCCAGAGGTCTCTGAGACTGTCCTCAGTTCTTTTCATTCTTTTTTCTTTATTCTGCTCTGCAGTAGTTATTTCCACTATTTTATCTTCCAGGTTACTTATCCGTTCTTCTGCCTCAGTTATTCTGCTATTGATCCCATCTAGAGTATTTTTCATTTCATTTATTGTGTTGTTCATCATTGTTTGTTTCATCTTTAGTTCTAGGTTCTTGTTAAATATTTCTTGCATTTTGTGTATTCTATTTCCAAGATTTTGGATCATCTTTACTATCATTATTCTGAATTCTTTTTTAGCTAGGCTGCCTATTTCCTCTTCATTTGTTAGGTCTGGTTGGTTTTTATCTTGCTCCTTCATCTGCTGTGTGTTTTTCCGTCTTCTCATTTTGCTTATCTTACTGTGTTTGGGGTCTCCTTCTTGCAGCCTGCAGGTTCATAGTTCCTGTTGTTTTTGGTGTCTGTCCGCAGTGGCTAAGGTTGGTTCAGTGGGTTGTGTAGGCTTCCTGGTGGAGGGGACTAGTGCCTGTGTTCTGGTGGATGAGACTGGATCTTGTCTCTCTGGTGGGCAGGTCCACGTCTGGTGGTGTGTTTTGGGGTGTCTGTGCACTTATTATGATATTAGGCAGCCTCTCTGCTAATGGGTGGGATTGTGTTGCTGTTTTGCTAGTTGTTTGGCATAGGGTGTCCAGCACTGTAGCTTGCTG